TGCCTCTCTAACATGCAGCACTTCACATTTATCGAAGTTAAACTCGATCTGCCACTCCTTGGCCCATTGGCCCATCTGATCAAGGTCCTGTTGTGCTCTGAGGTAACCTTCTTCTTTGTCCACTACACCTCCAATTTTGGTGTCATCTGCAAACTTGCTAACCATACCTCCTATGTTCACATCAAAATCATTTATATAAATGACAAAAAACAGTGGACCCAGAACCAATCCTTGTGGCACACCACTGGTCACAGGACTCCTGTCTGAAAAGTAACCCTCCACCACCACGTTCTACCTTCAAGCCAGTTCTGTATCCAAAAGGCTAGTTCTCCCTGTATTCCATGCGATCTAACCTTGCTAACCAATCTACTATGTGGAACCTTCTTGAACGCCTTACTGAAGTCTATTTGGATCACATCCACTGCTCTGCCTTCATCAATCCTCTTTGTTATTTCTTCAAAAAATGCAATCAAGTTAGTGAGACATGACTTCCTATGCACAAAGCCACATTAATTATCCCTAATCAGAGCTTGCCTTTCCCAATACATGTAAATTCTGTCCCTCAGGATCCCCTCCAATCACTTGCCCACCACTGATATCAGGCTCACCGGTCTATAGTTCCCTGGCTTTTCATTACCACCTTTTTTTAAATAATGGCACCACGTTAGCCAACCTCCAGTCTTGCAGCACCTCACTTGTGGCTACCGATGATACAAATATCTCAGCAAGGGGCTCCAGCAATTACTTCCCTCGCTTTCCACAGAGTTCTAGGGTACACTGGATCAAGTCCTGGAGATTTATCCACCTTTATTCATTTTAAGACATCCAGCACCTCCTTCTCTGTAATATCAACATTTTTTCAAGATGTCACCATTTATTTTCCCAAATTCTCTATCTTCCATATCCTTCCCCACAGTAAACACCGATGCAAAATACTGATTTACTACCTCCCCTAATTCCTGCAGTTCCATACATAGGCGGCCTTGCTGATCTTAAAGGGGCCCTATTCACTCTTTTGTCCTTAATGCATTTGTAGAATCCCTTTGGATTCTTCTTAACCCTATTTGCCAAAGCTATCTCATGTCCCCTTTTTGCCCTCCTATTTTCCCCTCTTAAGCATACTTCTACTACCTTTATTCTCTTCTAGGGATGTGCTCAATCCCTGCTGTCTATATCTGGCATATGCTACCTTTTTTCCCTTGACCAAAACCTCAATTTTTCCAGTCATCCAGCATTCCCTGCACCTACCAGCCTTGCCCTTCACCCTAACAGGAACATACTATCTCAGGACTCTTGTTATCTCATTTTTGAAGGCTTCTCGCTTTCCAGCCATCCCTTTATCTGCAAACATTTGCCCCCAATCAACTTTTGAAAGTTCCTGTCTAATACTGTCAAAATTAGCCTTCCTTCAATTTAGAACTTTAACTTTTAGGTCCGGTCCATCCTTTTTCATCAATATTCTAAAACTAATAGAATTATGATCACTGGTCACAAAGTGCTCCTCCACTGACACCTCAGTCATCTGCCCTGCCTTATTTCCCAAGTGTCGGTCAAGTTTTGCACCTTCTGTAGTAGGTACATCCACATACTGAATCAGAAAATTTTCTTGTACACACTTAGCAAATTCCTTTCCCTCCAAGCCCTTAACACTATGGCAGTGCCAGTCTATGTTTGGAAAGTTAAAATTCCCTACCATAACCACCCTATTTTTCTTACAGATAACCGAGATCTCCTTACAAATTTGTTTCTCAATTTCCCGCTGACTACTGGGGTGTCTACAGTACAATGGCAATAAGGCGATCATCCCTTTCTTATTTCTCAGTTCCACCCAAATAACTTCCCTGGAGGTAGTCCCAGGAATATCCTCCCGAAGTACAGCAGTAATGTTATGCCTAATCAAAAATGCCATTCCCTCTCCTTTCTTGCCTTCCTTTCTATCCTTCCTGTAGCATCTGTACCCTGGAACATTAAGTTGCCGGTCCTGTCCATCCCCGAGCCACGTCTCTATAATCGTTACAATATCCCAGTTCCATATTCCCAACCATGCCCTGAGTTCATCTGCCTTATCTGTTAGGCATCATGCATTGAAATCAATGCAGTTTGATTTATCAGTCCTACCTCGTTCTTTGTTTTGTTCCTGCCTGCCCTGACTGTGTGACCATCTCCTTTTCTCAACTGCACCAGTATCAGACTGATCTCTTTTCTCAGTATCTCCCTGGGTCCAACCACCGCCCCTACTAGTTTAAACCACCCTGAGCAGCTCGAGCAAATCTCGTCACCAGAATATTAGTCCCATTTCAGTTCAGGTGCAATCCGTCTTCCTTATACAGGTCACTTCTACCCCAGAAGAGTTTCCAATGATCCAAAAATGTGAATCCTTTTCCCCTATGCCAGCTCCTTAGCCACGCATTCATCTGCTCTATCCTCCTATTCCTTCCTTCACTAGCTCGTGGCACTGGGAGTAATTCAGATATTAGTACCCTCGAGGACCTACTTATTAAATTCCTGCCTAACTTCCTATAATCTCTTCTCAGAATTTTGTCCTTTTCTCTTCCTATGTCATTAGTTCCAATGTGTACAATGACCTCCTGCTGGTCCCTCTCCCCTTTGAGAATATTCTGCACCCTCTCCAAGATATCCTCGATCCTGGCACCAGGGAGGCAACACACCATTCTGATGTCTTGTTGCCGGCTGCAGAAATGTCTGTCTGTGCCTCTGACTAGAGAGTCCCCTATCACAATTGATCACTTGGAACTTGACATACCCCTTGTTACAATAAAGGCAATCTTGGTACCAGAACTCTCACTCTCAGTACTGCATTTCCTGGAGAGTCCCTCACCATCTACATTTTCCAAAACAGCATAGGCATTAGCTGCATATGTTTCCTACCTTTCCTGGAGGTAACCCATCTACCTGACTGTATCTGCAGTTTTTCAAACTTCCTGCAACTGCCATCCATCACACCCTTGGGCTCCTGTAAATTCCTCATTGCCTGTAACTGCTGCTCCAATCAATCTATGTGAACTGATAGAATTCACAACCAAACACACTTCCTGCCAACATCAGTAACATGGAAACTCTCCCTAATCTCCCACATCCGACTGGAAAAGCACATCACTCTACTAAAGGCAATCTTTGCACCCTACCAATCTATAGACCCAGAAAATATGCTACATGAGGTGTAGCATGCAGAACTACACACAACACTCCAATGTGGCATAACCAGAGCCTCCTTTAGATGTAGTAAGACTTCCTCCCTTTTCTGTTCAAGCTTTATAATTAGAACGGTTAGCCTTCTGGTTGTATTTGTATCTGACTATAACACTTTAATGATATGTGGTAGGCCACTAAATTGCTTTAGACTTTCACTTTTCCTAATTTTCAATATTTAAAAAATACTCAGATCTAACCTACTTTGATCCAAAATGAATTACATCACATTTAACTGCATTGAAATCCATCACCACAATTTTGCCCTCATTACTCATGTTTGATTAATTCAATTTCACCTTTGTAGATTGACTGGTAAACTGTCAGAGTAGAACAATGAAAATGAAAAGCAGACATGTTTTGAAGTCAGCTAGCGATACATTTTCCTAGTTTAGGGCATAAAGGTAAAACTTTCCTTCTGATGTTAGTTGCAAATATTTGGAATTGTTTGTAAATTCGTTATTTTAAATAATAAAATGAACAATACATAATAAAAGAAAAATCCAAAGCAGATTTACAAACTTTGACACATCAGGGTGAAGATAAGATCCTTCAAATAGAGATAATTTGAGTGAATGATATGAAAACAATTCTGCTTGGCAGTGGGTGCACTATTAAAGTTGCAATAACAAAGCTCTTCTGACAAATACATTCATTGCTGGAGGAACCTGCGTTAGCTTTCCGTAATTATGATTTCTTCAACTTGTCTAAACAACATGTTTTAACAGTAGAACCAAAATAATTTCTACAACATCGTCTTTCTCCAGTTTTTCCATTACTGCATTCAGGTAGCGCAGAAGGAATTTTTCCATTTTAATTTGCAACAGGGTAGAAATACCTCTGCAACAAGTTAGTTACATGACAGAAACAGTTTATCACTAAGAAATTATGTCACATGGAAGTAGAAAATCACTATAAGTCGGAAAAGGAAATCAAGCCCAAATGAATGTGAAGTGGGTGGGACTCTTTGGAGAGTTAACAAAAGCAAACAGCCACTAGAAGGCCAATTAAAATTTACTCATTAATGATTACTGCAGAAGAGAGAAACTGTGCTGTTAAGGACGTTGTTCCATACCACATATTTCACTTATTTAACCATCGCAATTCCTAACTTACAGTTGGAAAGATGTTCTATGAAATGTCCCTATTGTGCAAATTATTTTTTAAGTTGCTTCACCGAAAACCATCTCAAGAGAATTCTTTTGACTCATTACATTGCAGTTTTATGGGAAATTTGTATTCTAAGAAAACAATAACAAATACTAGGTTGTACGTTTTATTTCACATACTCCATTTTCGCACAGCAGCACAGGTTCTTTGGACTATGAGTACTTTAAATTCATTGTTGTGTGTTAAATAATATGGTACAAACTGTGTTTCAATAGTTGTCAGTCAGAGTATGGCATTTCACCGAGATAGAGTACTTCAGAGTTTTTTTATGGGCACAAAAATTAAATCTTCTTTTCCCGGTGTAACAATGTTATATGAAAGTAGGATTTGGCTGTGGAAGGCAAACAGTGATATAATAACATGTACTCAGCCCAATCATCTTTTGCTAACAATTATTAAGCAAACAGTAGCTGAGATCAGCAAACTGCATGTCATTAAATAATAAGCTGCCTCAGAAATCAGTGCTTTCTTTTTTAAAAAAAAAGAATGTATTGATAGGAGAAGAGATTAAATATTAACATGAAAACCCCTCCACCCCTCATCAGCATATAGCTCCACTAGCTAGCACTTCATTTCAGTAAGATGCTTGTTAAACATCATAGCTGATAGAGATACTCAATGTAAGTCTGGCAGAGTGGTCATCAACCTGAGAAGTTCAGTGAAAAGGGGGCTTGTTGGAGTTTTTGGTAACAATGCGCTTGTCGAAAGCTCTGATAGAAATGGACTTGCCAGATTACACTGCTGCCTTAGACCCTGCTTATACAACTCTGGAATTTGAGAATATGCAAGTGTTAGCCATGGGTAATGGTGAGTTCCAAAGATTTTACTGTCAGACTACAGGGTTTAAAACTGATATGGTGTATGATTCTCCAAAGAAGATTTTCACTTCGCTTCTGCATAAATAGCAAATGCTGAAAACAAATATAAAATCTTTAGAATAGTTGTAACAGAAGCTGTACTTATTTTGGTCTACTGCACTGTCTAGATGATTTTTAAGCTATACAAATGTCAAAGGCTGTTTGATATTTTCACAAATATAACAAGGATTGTTTGGAAGTTAATTTGTTTTTATGTTTTCAAAGTTGAGGAAATCAAGGAAGTCAAATTCATTAATTGTACATTCAGATATGTGTTAAAGAATCACATGTGTAACTTGTCCGCTGATATATTTTAATTAACAATCAATTGTGAGAGTTTTACAACAAAACCATCATATAATAGTTTTTAATTTCTAACATTGATTCTGAGAACCAATGTTTACAATAGGATTAAAGATTTATTTGGAAGTCATGTTGCTTTTCCAAGTAGTGTGTAAAAATGTGGTTGCTCCTAAAAAAAGCAGCCTTCAAACCAGAGTCATTCACAATCATTATATGTCAAAATTACCCTTTTGCTTTCTGGTTAATTTATTATCGCCTCAGAATAAGAATAACTGGAATAAGTAGTGTTCCACATTTTATCAAATGCAGTAAAGATTATTTACAAGAGACACACTGGTTCATTCTGGTTTTGAAATGACAATCCAGCCTCCATTTTAACTATTACTTCATTTAAGAGAGAAAATCAAACCTCAGTAATGATATTTTTAATAAGCTATTTGGAATTACCCATATTATAGTGGATTTTATAGCTACCCTACTGACTTAAAATAGTTATTGTCGTTACCTTACTGACTTAAAAACTCCAATACAAGATATTAGAAGGATTTTTCAGTAATATAGAAATTGAAAAGCCACTTCACATATGGGATCACCTCAGTTGGAAATTGTCCCGAAATAATCAAGTACCAAGATTATAACACAATCCGTTAGAAGCTGTTACATACTGCATAAGTCACCAACTAATGTTTACTGATAAAAGTAATCAATGCGGACTGAGTGTTAATTTCAGGATATATCCGTTGATATTGCTTGCTTAAACCTTTTTGTTCGAAATATGAAATTCCAATTCTACTTGTATTTTTAAGGTACAGCAGTAATTAGACTGGCATTTTTGATTGATCAGTAACCTGCTGCAAATCACTTTGACAATAACAGTAAATTACTATTTTAAAAACTGAACCCAGGGCCCAAATCTAAGATGAATGCCATCTTTTGGGGTTAAAACTGACTTTTACTGTTATTTTTATTACTTGGGTGTTTCTATATTTTTGGTGGAAGATTTTTTTTTACAATTTTGATGTAATGATATATTCAAACATGCCTTTAAATTCTCACAGATCTTTGATGCCTTTGCTTGATTTAAATCGTTCACAAGGTAGTTCAGTCGAGCTGAAAGCTGTCAGCAAGGAAAATAGCAGTACACTGAAAGCAGCATTTCCATGACATGATTCAGTAGCTTAAAAGATGTATAAAAGTTCTTTTAAAATTATATTTTCAACCTGCTAACAAATATTCAAAATTTTCAACTTATTTAGAAGAATCAATTGAGAAAAGGTTTGAACCCTAAGTCTATTCTAGATGAATAAATTTAATTAGGAAAATTTGTATAATTCATAACTTTATTCAGGAAAATTTTTCAAAAATGATTCTAATTACTGGATTTAGCAGGCTGGCCCTTTAAGAAAAATATCCCATGTCACATGCCTAAATCTATTCCGTCATTTATCCATTCTACAATAGTTTTCTTACCATAGCAACAGTTAACATATCAAAAAAGGTTGCCCTCCTTCTCATCTTCTCCTTTGTCTCCATAGCTTTTTCAGGTAGAAGTTGAAATGTATTGCACTCATGTTTTGTGCATGAAACAACTATATACCATAATAATAAATTGAGCAGTGAATCAACCAGCGTCCTATCTGATGTTGGATCCATTGCTAAATATGTCAGACTCATTTTATGCAGGTACCTAAAACAGACAGTGGGTTCTATTAAATATGTTAATCAGTGATTAAACATCCATTAAAGAATCCCTGTTTAACATGTATTACCTAACCCCCTCCCACTTGCAGGTTCAGGGAAAATTAGATTGTTCGATGCATGCCAATGACGATTAAAGCATAGCTGATTGTTCCTGCCTCTGCAAAGGAAGGAGGAATTTCACAGAAATGCTTTCCGATGGTTAGCCTGAAAATCTCAAAAATAAAGCAGCAGGTTTTTTTTAGATGTAGGAAAGTTTCTGTTGCAATCACCCAATCTTGATTACAGTAAAAATTTAAACTTTTTAAACTTTAAATACTACATTGGACATGAGTACTTTATAAACAGTGTGCCTTGCTGATGATGAGATTTATGTATTGTCTAATTTGGTTGGTGTTATAGCTTGCATTCCCATAATGGGGTACTGTGCTCCCATTTCATTATGAATGGAAGTTTTACTAGCTGGAGAATGTTCAGATTCCACCTCAATTTTTACTCTACGCACATAGGTTTTGGTGCTTTTGTGGCAAAAAAGGGAAAATTTAAGCACATACCTTTATAAAGCTTGCATGTTTCTGCCCTGCTATATTGCACAGCAGTCTGTGTATCATATCACTTATACTGTGGGCCATTCCACTGCTGCGAATATAAGAATAACAATTTGCTATAATTTCAACAAAGATTTTATTGTGTTTCAACATTTCTTGTTCATTTATTCACTTAAAGGATTTAGTTATGACTGTTGAACTTTGAAGCAGAATCACACAGATTTGAAAAGGAAGGCGATAGGTTGCAGGTACGAAAAATAGAGGAACATACTGATCAATATAAGTTAATCTGACCATAACTGTCACATTGCATATTTTGTCCACCTACAAATAAGGCAGTTTAAAAGATTTTTATGATGCCTCACCTCAAGTATTAGCTGGGTGGCTGGGATTTAAGTTTACTGGACCCACACATCCCATGCAATAAGAAACAGTTGGATTTCACCAGCACACTGGAGATGTGGGAGCTGGGGAGCTGGTAGAATTCATAAAATGGCAAGATAATGCAAGATGGCATGTCTATATTCTTCTCACCATCATGCCAATTTACCAGCCCTCTCCAATGGTATCAAATGCAGCGTGGTAGCATTTGTAACATATTTGAATAAATAACGAGAATGATGCCCAATCACAACACCACCTCAAAGCCATTTTTTAAGATTTCTATGAAGTTCAAGAATAGGCAAATTGTGTTCGCAAACCCCCACGCTTTTTCTTGTCATACTTGTTCCAATGTGACCTTTCAAAACTTGCCCTATTGTTTTTGAAAACCACAATTTCATTTTTTTTATTTCAATTTCTGTACAGTCCTATATCATTGCAGTCAGAGTCTAACTGATGACTCAGCAGCCTAACAGCTTCTTGGTCACGGGAAGCATAAATGTTATACTATACTGTAACTTTCAAATGAAAATTTCTGTTGTCAAAGAGTAAATATTGCAAGCGCTGAAACAAGATTAGTTACATGTTGTTTTTCATACATGGAATATTCAAGAAAATATAAGAATAATAGGCGTGTGTAGAGAAAAACTCTGACATTGACCATTTTGAACAATTTCATTCTTTCTAAAGATTCTGTAATTTTGCACAAAGCTCCCTATAATTTGATAAAAATGCCCAACTCAGAGAAGACTTGAAGATTGTTTGTGTAAGAAATGGAAGTGTTCTGTTGGTGACGATAAAACAAGGGTCAAAAGAGATTACTGAAGCAAAGAATAATGCAGTATTCTGTACCCGAACAATATTTCAAGTGTACTGGGACACTAATTCTGATAATGGGCCACAAAATTAAAATTGCCCTCTTCGCAAGCTGCCTCCTTTTTAAAAGGAAGCAAAGTGTGGTTCAAGTATTTTGAGTGGAGAAATGGCTCTTGTTGAACTTCCCCTTATTACATATTTGTATGATATGCTGGTGAGAAATTTTGTCAAGGTAAACATGTCAAAATATCCTGGCTTCTGACCCTTTTTTCAACTATTTTAAGTTTAATGCCACTACGAAAGCAGTCAAATCTGATTTTTGATCTCTGCATCTAAAACCCACCATAGGCAATGTTTAACAGGATGGAGTTACGCATATTATCCATGCTAATAAAGTAACCTACACAATGTAGATTTACTTTGATGCAAGATAGTCTTTCATCTATAAGCTATCTGGGCCTATTGTCAGTATTAAAAACCATCAACAAAAAACAATTTAAGATTGGATTCTTGTCAGATAATATGTTTTCAATGATTTAATGCAGGATTTATTGGGTGATAAAATTATCAGGGTGTAGATATAATGAAGCATTTCTACAAGCATTTAAAACACGAAAGCTTTGTCAAGAATTTTTTGTGATATCAATTGTATTTTATTTCAGTTAGCCTTAAACATTGTATTTTTAAATTGATTAAAAGTAAATTTCAAAACATTGCAAACAATTGGATTATAATTGTTTGGATTCTAAGTGTGTTAGATTTGATTATTAAAAGTTTATGGGATTTGATCCTTTGCTATATTATCACCTCCTTTTCCTTCCTCCCACTACCCAGAACCTAGTTCTGCCAATAGAGCGTATGCACAATTATATGTGGAAAGGCATGTTCCAATAACAAGTAAACTGTGGCATTAGACACCTTAACACGCCTCTGATTTTCCAATATCTTTCTTAGAAATTGAAATCTGTGGGTACAATGTTCTGCTCCCTGGAGATGGTAAGAGAGGAAATACTTGGGTGAGTTGTCCGTGAAGAGATACACTCACCCACTTCTCTCCACCTCACCAATCAGGCGCTGGGCAAGAAGAACCACTGAGAACTCTCAACTCATCTGCATTCAAGGCCTTTAAATGATCAATTAACTATCCACTTAAGGCCTCTAATTTGCCATATTCCAATTAAATGGCTGGTTTCCTGATAACCAA